AGCCGGGAGACCTGGGGATGGACTGTCCAATCTCAGGGGCAGAAGTTGCTGAGGTAGTCAAACAACTACACAGCGGCGGAGCCCCGGGGGCAGATGAAGTTCGTCCTGGGTATCTCAAGGCTATGGATGTTGTAGGGCTGTCATGGTTGACACATCTCTGCAACATTGCGTGGTCATCGGGGGCAGTTCCCGTGGAGTGGCAGACCGGGGTGGTGGTCCCCATCTTTAAGAAGGGTGACCTGAGGGTGTGTTCCAACTATAGGGGGATCACACTCCTCAGCCTCCCTGTAAAGGTCTACTCCAATGTACTGGAGAGGAGGGTCCGATCGATAGTTGAATCTCAGATTGAGGAGGAGCAATGTGGTTTTCGTCCTGGCCGTGGAACTGTGGACCAGCTCTATACCCTTGCAAGGGCGATGGAGGGGGCATGGGAGTTTGCCCGACCAATGCACATGAGTTTTGTGTATTTGGAGAAGGCTTAGGACTGTGTCTCCTGGGGCAACCTGTGGGGGACGCTCCAGGAGTATGGGGTGGGTGGCTTTTTGTTAAGGGCCATTCAGTCCCTTTACCAGAGGAGCGTGAGTTTGGTCCACATAGCCGGCAGTAAGTCGGACCTGTTCCCAGTGAGGGTTGGACTCTGCCAGGGCTGCCCTTTGTCACAGGTTCTGTTCATTACCTTTATGGACAGAATTTCTAGGCGCAGCCGTGGTGGGGAGTGTGTCGAGTTTGGTGGCAGGAGAATCTCGTCTCTGCTTTTTGTGGATGATGTGGTCCTCCTAGCTTCATCCAGCTCTGACCTTCAGCTCTTGCTGGGTAGGCTCGCGGCCAAGTGTGAAGCGGCTGGGATGAGGATCAGCACCTCCAAATCTGAGACCATGGTTCTCGACGAGAAAAGGATGGCTTGCCAACTCCGGGTCGGGGGAGAGGTCCTACCTCAAGTGAAGGAGTTTAAGTATCTTGTTCACGAGTGAGGGTAGGAGGTATCGGGAGATCGACAGGCGGATTGGTTCAGCGTCTGCAGTGATGCGGACGCTGAGCCGATCTGTTGTGGTGAAGAGGAAGCTGAGCTAGAAAGCCAGGCTCTTGATTTACCGGTCGATCTACGTCCCAATCCTCACCTATGGTCATGAGCTTTGGGTAATGACCGAAAGAACGAGATTGCGGATACAAGTGGCCGAAATGAGTTTCCTCCGTAGGGTGGCCAGGCTCAGCCTTAGAGATAGGGTGAGGAGCTCGGATATTCTGGAGGGACTCTGTGTAGAACTGCTGCTCCTCCGGATCAAAAGGAGCCAGTTGAGGTGGTTTGGGCATCTCATCAGGATGTCTCCTGGACACCTCCCCGGGGAGGTGTTTCGGGCATGTCCTGCCGGCAGGAGGCTCCCGGGTCGACCCAGGACACGTTGGAGAGGTTACATCTCCAATCTGGTCCGGGAACGCTTTGGGGTCCTGCTGGAGGAGCTGGTGGAGAAGGCCGGGGAGAGGACGGTCTGGGGTTCCCTAGTTGGGATGCTGCCCCCGCGAACCGGACCCGGATAAGCGGAGGAAGACGACGACAACTAGTCAAACACATTAAGCTGGTAAGTAGATAAATGACTTTCACTGTAATATCGAGTTGTTGGGCAAGCAAAGTAGCTTGAGATATTCTTAGAGTCGACTATTTGCTTCTAATTCGCCATTAGCATTGTTAGCTCAATGTTAGCCAAGAGCCTTTTTTACCTGATATTAGAGTAAAGAGAAAGATGTTGTAGCTTCTTAGGGGTAACTTGTGGAAATAACTTCTGGGTCGCCCCTATTACTGCCTTAGGAATTTTACTAAACGGTGCAGGCTCACAGATTGTTAACAGCAACTACGTCCCTTTTTAGCTTTCTTTAAATGGGAAAACTGGTAACCCCACAGCCAGAATGAAATCTGTTTCAGTGTAACCTTCCATTCAATGTGATTAGGACATTAGACTCTTATGTGATTATTTCACTGTGGAGTTCTTAGATAAGACATCAAGACAATCACAGCCATACGTAGACCTCTACTGTCTTTATGTAGTTTAAGGAATGCAAACAATAAAATTCAAAAACATCAGTGTGTTTCCTAAGCAGAAATATGTTAGGACCTTCAATCAAAAGTTTGATTTACTTTAGTCAAATAATTGTTCAGCTCAGTTTTAAATTTATGACTTTATTTATTTGCATCACAATTTGGAGTCCATTTTAACCTCTCTCTCTCTCTCTCTTTCTTCTGATTTAGCAAACTTTTAAATCACTTCAAGAGATTTAAGCCACTTGCAATTAGGAACCCTTTAATCAGATATGTGAGAACAAAACTTAAGCCCTTTTCTCTTCAGTTGAACTGGAAGTTTAATGTAAAATGTGTAATGAATGATGTATAATTTGTGGTTGAAGTTGGGTTATAATAAAGATGAGGAGGAAGGGTGTGTTTACTCTGATCTGGGGGTGGGACAGGCCAGTCAGGCCCAAAGAAAACAAAGTTTTAAACCCAGGGGGTTTACAAAACATGCCAGAGTTGTCTTTTTTTTTTCATGTTGAAATGATTGTAGACACTTACTGCATTACAGTTGTTCTTGTTGCATATTACATCACTTTTGATATGAGACCACTTTCTGTCTGTTTCACAAAAGAACACACAAAGGAATTTGTGCTGTATTGACCTGCAGAGACTCTGTATGTCTCTCAGCAGGTATGAGTGGGATGCCAATTCATCACAAGTGCTTATATAATAATTTCTTTAAAAATAGGAAAGAAAATGTCATGAATTGAGTTGTTGAGAGTTCACAATGCATCTTGGCTCACGATGGAGAAGGTTGTTGTTTGTTTAGCATCCAGGAAACAACAGAGGGCATCTTAGCTAGTAGAAGCTAAATGTTAGCATTAGCAACTCCACATCACAGCAAAAGCTCCTCCGGGCTTCAGTTGTTTGTGCAGACATAACATCAATGTTGCAAAGCAAACAGATTCAGTGGTAGAGCCACGTTGCTGTTAGCCAATCAGAGGCGAGATGTCCAAATATCAGGAAATAAGACTCCCAATCCTGCCGTTGAAGGCCCAGTCCCAATACTCGCACTTCCCCACTTGCGCCTTTCAATTGCACGATTCCGACCCAGGGGTGCAAGTGCGCAGGGTGTCCCGATTCTCAAGTGTGGAAGTTGATCACTCCCCTTTGTGCCCTTGGTGCGAACTGTATTACCCACAATCTATTGCTGGGGGAGAACAGGCGGAAGTTCCTTTTCTGACAATATAAATTTTCTGATGAAGGTAGTTAATTTTAAGATGATTAGTTGATGCTCAAAATTTTTTAAACAAAGCAGCAACAAATGTAAATGTAAAATTTTTAAAAGTATCACAGCGACCAGCACTCCAGCATGTGATGTGATCAATGACGCAATACTCCCTCTTTCAATTCAGACATTATTTGCACACTTGTGTACCACACACTTAAAGCCTTACTGCACACTTTCTCCAAGTGCACTTTGTCGATGAGCACAGGGTGAGAATGGGGATTGGGCCTAAAGCTTTCCTCTGATCTGGCAATTTTCTAGTTCCTCAAACAGGTGCACCGGAGCTTTTTTTCCCCAGAGTACAAGTTCTAAGACATTCATTCTTAATATCGAACAGTGCAAATGTATTAAAAATATGAGTGAAGGACCTCTTTAAAGCTAAATGTTCTGGCATGAATCACCTCCTCAAAAGAAATAAAATAGAAAACAAAACTTGAAAACATTGCAAAAATGGAATACATTAAAATCTAAAACCAATGGATTTTTTAATGAAATGGAAATAAAAAAACTGCCAAATTTGGAGATTTCATTTGTTGTTCTTACATAAAAAAATACAAATTTCTTACAAGTGCTTAAGAACTGATTGAATTTTAATGTGGAATTTTTAAGGTAACGAAAGCTCTTATATTCAATAAAGTTTACATTTATTTGACAGATGCCTTCATCCAAAGTGACTAAAGTAGTACAAACGGTAACTTGGATGCTTAAATCACAAAAAAACATTTACTTTTATCAGACAAGAAAGAAGCCATTTAGAGCATTTGAATTGTTCATGAATATTTAAATCATGAATAATTTATTGTGCTTGAAACCAAACTCACATTTAAATGATTGCTTGAATTTGGCAAAGGAAAAAAAATCTTGAATCAAATCCCACAAATTTTTATCAGTGTTGCAGGTTTGGAGCTGAGGCCAGTAGCAAATGGTTTTAAACTTGTCCTTTATTAATATATAATTCTTGTTTTTACAGTTCAGTCTGTAATGATCTCCTGATTCATCACGATCTTGCTCATACGACATTTAGTTAATCTCATAACTTTGTGCTATTGTTAAACTGCTTTGTGAGACTAAACACAGCTGCTCTTGTGTGAACTTGAACAAACCTGACCTCAGGATTTTTTAGTCATGAACACACGCGCTCTGAAGGAGACGCACACTCTATCACCTCATAATTGATCATGACTGTGACAGGCAGAGCGTGGAACATAAACTGTCTGATGTGCACTCCCTCTGTGTGTGTGTGTGTGTGTGTGTGTGTGTGTGTGTGTGTGTGATCATAATGAGTTAAACATAAAACATTGGCAGCTGCTTTCCACTCAGCAGCAGTGACGTCGTCATTTAAGCGGAGCAAGGGAATTTTTTTGGGAGACCACTGCGTGTGGAACTCCTTTTTTGCGAGGCTGGGCTGTAACTTGAACCCTGAGGAGCAGAGAGAGAGAGAGGAGAGAGAGAGAGAGAGAGAGAGACGAGAGAGAGAGAGAGAGAGAGAGAGAGAGAGAGAGAGAGAGAGAGAGAGAGAGAGAGAGAGAGAGAGGAGAGAGAGAGAGAGAGAGAGAGAGAGAGAAGAGAGAGAGAGAGAGAGAGAGAGAGAGAGAGAGAGCAGAGAGAGAGAGAGAGAGAGAGAGAGAGAGAGAGAGAGAGAGAGAGAGAGAGAGAGAGAGAGAGAGAGAGAGAGAGAGAGAGAGAGAGAGAGAGAGAGAGAGAGAGAGAAATACATTGAGTAAGAAAAAAGAGAAATGGAAGAAAGGGGGAAGGAAGGAATGAAAGGCAGGCAGAAGGTAATGTCAGCTGAGATCAGAACGTAAACAGAGGTCCAGACTGCAGCATGCTGTCTGTGGGACGGGGACCACAGCTGGGGCAAACCCATGGGGGCACCAGCACCTTTATCTCTAGAGAAAGGAGCTGGCTCCTCTCAGTCCTCCCTTTTTATTTCATCTCCCTGCCCTTGGGAACAGCCTGGCCCTACGGTAAGAGCTTTGCAGAGACTCTACTTTTACTGCACTTGTTTGTCTTCCTCCTCATGTCTTAGGCTTCGACACAGCCTCTTGGCTCTTTGTTCTCAAGAAGCCCGGCATCAGCATTCCCACTGTCCGCGACAGATCCTGGCAATGCTGGTAAAAGATAAATAAGAGCAGCAAAGAGAAAGGCGCTTTTCTTAATTCATCTCTGGAGTAATATTCCAACGCTCACAAAGGTTTGTCTTTGTTTGAACAAACACGATGAAACAATCAACAACACAACACAAGTTGGATGTTGCCACACATTCCTGGAGGTGGACCTAACCTTAGGAGTCCTAATGAGGCTCTTGAATCTCGACACGCTTTCCCCATTGTTTAAGATCCTCTCTGCATGCTGTGAGACTGACTTTGCCTGCTTGCCGTGACTTTTCGACCCACTGGAAGACATGAGTCATGTTTTGACTCGATCACTGGGCAGTGGTAATGTCTGTGCCTCACACTGCATCAAGACACCCTACTGAGCCTCTACCCTTCCTTTCCCCGATGTTTATCATGCAGTAAAATATTACCTTGAATTTGTAATGTGGCTGAGCGTGGTAGAGAGCTGGCCAGAGCAGCTGCTGTGACTCAGAGAGTTCCCTTTGGCAGATCCAACTTGAAATGTTGATGTCAGCTGAGTCACTCACTGCTTGTCTGGTTTCACAATCAGCTGATGATAGAATTTTTTTATCGCACAACATAAAACATTTTTTGTTTTTAAGCCAAAGCACATGTGTGTAAATCGTGTCTTTGAAGTCTGTTTAGACACATGTATTCCATTTTGTCGACATTAGTTTGAGCATGATTCGGTGTCCCTCTGAGGTTCTCGGGTCTGTCCAAGTCTTCCTGTTTGGGATTTCCAGTAATTTTGGCTCCTGTTGCTCAGACACTTGCCTCAGGGTTTGTTTAGCAAAAGCCCACACAGAAGGTTTTTGTTTTTGAGCTCCTGATCACTGGAAAACAAAGTCAGTCCAGCAGATGTAATATCAGGGAGGATAAGGAAAATCTGAACAGAGAAACATTTAGAAAGAAAATTCTCAACTTTATGGAAGCTCTGGAAGGCAATTTAAGGAAAACATATGAAATGTGAGGGACTTTAAAATTGTGAACATTTTTATTCCTTATTTTGTTTCTTTACATCTTATAAGCAAATGAAAAAAAGTGTTTTGGACTAGTGATGCAAGAACCCAAAACAGTTATTTATTTATCCATTTTTTGGAAAATACTATTTACATATAGAAGAAAAATATTGAAAGTAGGCTACGTTAAATTTGGATTTTTCTCATTTAAGAAGAAATATTGTTAACATTTCAGGTCTCAAAAATGCCTATCTCTAAAAAAAAGGAAACTGTTGAGGAGACTTCAAAGTAGCAGTGTGTATTTTCTTGGCGCTAGGGGCAGTACGTACATGCATTTCAGGTTAGTTTTACTCCATGTCATTCTGACTGTCTCCATTAAAAAAAAACATTACAGTAAATGTTGTCACCAGTAACATCAGCATGACTCCTCAGACTTTGATGGTCCTTCACTTAATTCCATCGAGAGAACACAATGCTGATTGTAGTTTTCTGTCGAAGATTTCAGATCCGCTCGGGGTCATGCGCCTGTTGATGATGTCATCATACCACAGCAATAATGCTCAGCCAAAATACAGTAAATTGCACCTCTTTCCATTCCTGCTCTTTGACAAAAGCTTTGGAAATAGTTTAGCAGGTTTTTTGTTGTTGTTATTAAATTTGTATTTCTTAATGCCTGATTATTTTGGAACATAGTTTTGTAACTTCAGTAGGTTGTAAGTCCTAAGTCGTACGCCCAGCCAATCACCTAGTGTGATGTCATCGGCAGGCGCATGGGCCACTGGACAGAAGGAAACATGCCATCTAATATGGCGTCGCCAAAAACACTAGACCCCGCGCCCTACGTACTTTAGACCAGGGCTACTCAAATGTAGTGGTCCGAGGGCCACTCCACAAAACGAACTTGAATCGCGAGGTCTGGTCTGGGGGGGTGGGGGGTGCTGGCGGTTTTACACACAACACACAAGCTTACAATATAATGAGAACTGCATACCACCTCCGTTCCTACCCCTCCCGCTCAGTGGTCGGACTGGTTTGGGGGTGGGGTGGGGGGTGGGGATATGCGGTTCGGGGGCAACAAAGAGGGGGCTCGAGGACCGGTCCTGGACCATGGGCTGCCTATTGGGTGCAGCTGCTTTAGACCCTTTAGATTTTTATGGTTATATGTCACGACGTCGCCAATATTTTTCAACAACTGGACATCATTTTATTCATTTTCAACAGCGTTTCGATTGGTATTTCCAGAGATTAAAGGTAAAAATTATGTTTCTTTAAGATGACCACTCAGTTACTTCCAGTTTTACCTCTTCATAATTCAACAGGTCAAGAAAAGTAGAAGAAAATGTTCAAACTTAGAAAAACAAATCATCTTCCTTTATTTTTTTGGGTAGCCTTTCAGGTATTCCTTACAAAGTTCATCCCCAGAGTCAAGAGCCCAAACAAAATGCTGGCACCCAACCTCAGACTGTTGAACTCACTTATAGACATTCCATCACACTGTGTAACTGCACCGGATAATAAACTGATGAGGTATTTCAGCGTTTGTGGTTTTTAGTTCAAGAAAACTTGTTTAAATTAATCCAGAAGATGGCATGTCGGACCGGTTATTGAGGATTTGGATACCTTCAGACATACTGTAACCACAAAGCTCCCCGCGGACTTTCCCTTTTCCATGATGGCTTTGACCTCAAAATACCAGACAGCTGTTGTGGGCAGCAAGCAAATAGAAATCGTACACTCACACTGCATGCCCTGCACCTCCACTCACAGCTGCTGTAAAAAGTTATTTTTCCGCGATACATCAGTAAGTCAGCAGGAAAGTATTTAGTAGTTGAAATGCTTGGCATTTTCAGCAGGGAGCTGTCATTTTCTGACACATATTATCACCTAATAATGGAAGAGAATGGGATTTGTGATTTTTGCAATGCTCGAGCAAACCCCAATAGAAGGAAAGTGTCTTTATTTATGGATGTCAGAAAAATGCTCATAAAAACATGTTTTTCTGACTTTAGGTGAACTTCTGGTTAAACACATTTTGGAAAATGTAGCTTTTGTGAGTAAGTTTAGGTGTGCTTTAGAACTGCAGTTCTGTCGTTTGCTGCCAATTTGGAAAGTTAGGCTCAAAGGGAAGAAATAACAACTAAATTAAAAAAATTAAACAAATAACGGAAACCACCTACCAGCATGTTATCTAATTTTGCATCAGCTTTAATGTGTGAGCAACAACAGCAGAATAGAATTAGATCCTTTCTACAACTTTTTTTTTTTACCTTTGACCACCGTTAGGGTCGAGAATATACATGGCTAAGATTTCACACACAGACAGCTTGAGAGTTATTTATAAGAGCTACCAACTGTTGAACCAATGTACCAAAAATAAAGTGTATTTCAGCTCTACAGGGCTTATTGTCTCTCCTAGATTCTAAACAGTACTTTGATGCCATTTTAGAAAAACAAGCCAAATGTTTCTCAACAATTCCTCTGAGAACGGTGAGGAGTCGCAATGCAATGTCAATAACATAACTGAAGAAATGATGTAGACATGTTAGTAATACACTTCCTATTATCCTGGCGTGCTGGTGCTGAGGTCACTGAGGTGGTCAAAAAGCTCCTTGGTGACAAGGTCCTGGAGGTGTCGTAGGGCAGTGTTGATTGATGCGGCTCAGAAATACCGTGTGGAAATTAGGGGCAGTTCCACTGGACTGGCAGACCGGGGTGATGGTCCTCCTGTTTAAAAAAAGGGGGACTACATGGTGCGGTCCACCAACTGGGGGATCACACTTCTGAGCCTCCCTGGTAGAGTCTATTCGGGGGTTTTGGAGAGGAGGGTTCATCGGATAGTGGAAACTCTGACCAAGGAAAAGCAATGTGGTTTTTGTCCTGGCCGTGGAAGACTGGACACTGGAAAAGGGTAGAATGCCTTCTCTAGGTCAAGGATGAGGTCCTGCCTAAAGTGGAGGAGTTTAAGTTTCTCCAGGTCTTTTTCACAAGTGAGGGAAATATGGATGAAAGATCGGCAGGCGGATTGGTGCTGTGCCTGCTGTGATGCGAGCATTGTACCAGTCTGTTGGGGGTGAAAAGAGAACTGAGCAGAAACGCAAAGCTCTCAAGTGATTGGTCTATGATCTATCAATCTAAGCTCCTACCCTCATTTATGGTCACAAGCTGTGGGTAGTGACCAAAAGAATGAGATCACGGATACAAGCAGCTGAATTTAATTTTCTCCACAGGGAGGTTGGGCTCTCCCTTAGAGATAGGGTGAGAAACTTAGTCATACAGGAGGGGCTCAGAGTAGATCCGCTGCTCCTTTACATCAGGACGAGCCAGTCGATTCAATTCAATTCAAAAATACTTTCTTTAATCCCAGAGGGAAATTAGAGTTATTAATCCCAGAGGGAAATTAGAGTTAGGAAATTAGAGAGCCAGATGTGGCTCAGGCTTCTGGTTAGGATGCCTTCTGGATGCCTTACTGGTGAGATTATATGGGCACATCCAACTGGAAGAAGGGACACTGTGGGGACAATGTTTCTAATATGGCCAGGGAACACCTTCCCCAGCAGGAACGGACTCAAGTGGCTGGGGTGAGGGAAGTCTGGCCCTTTCTGCTTAGACTGATGACCCCACGACCCGCTCCTGGTTAAGCAGATGGGTATGGATGGATGGATTATCAGGCAAATGTTTCCCATAGCTCAAAACTAAAGTTTTTATAAAACTTTTATACATTTCAAATGAAAGTTTAAAGTAAACCTTCAGTTAAGCGCTCTTGTTTTGTCTGGAAATGAGAGTTTCCGGTTATGGCAGATGTGTCTTAGGCCCTGTCCACATGTAGCCGGGGATCTGCCAAAACGTAGATATTTTTCTACGTTTTGGCCTGTCATCCACACGAAAACGGAG